ATAGAATACAAAAAGATTAGAGAAGCTAGTGTTAGTTTTTTTTTTTAAAGAAAATAAGCAGTTAGTAAATAAATAGAGTGCAAGTCTATAAATTATTTTTTAAAAGAAGATTAAAATCGAGAGTGCTAGAGTTAGAGGGTAAAATAAAGATGGAAGAGATGTGTTTTTAGCTGATTCTTGAAGATGGCTAAGGACTTAGCTGCTCGGATTGAGTTGGGCAGGTCATTCCACCAGGAGGGAACATTTAATGATAATAATAATTTCAATGATAACGAAATATTTTCAACCAATGATATTACTGTTGTTTCAATTTAATAAACATTGTGACTTTCTAAGTGTCTGTGATCTTGTTTTCAGTGTTTATATTAGTAACTGGAAAGATGCAGGTCTGGTATAATATTTGTCACTTTTTTCTCGATTTAAGTGCAGTGAGTCGGGATATGCTGGTATGTAAAGGCATGTTGTAAGGTTTAAACTACTGAAAGGTCACTGGGGTGAGTATGGATATAAAAAGTTTATGTCGTGACATACATCTCATACATTTGTATGTTGATAATTACAAAGGTTTTCTTGAGCAATGTCTCACTGAGGTGAAACATTCCAGATGTAGTGCAAAATTGGCTGTAAAAATAGAAAGGGCAGCACAATGATATGCTTTTGAAACATTTGTGGCATTGCCACTGTAACAGCATTACATATTTACACTTACATTAACATCACATTAAATACTTAAGTTTTACACACGTTTAATATCTTGTTACTTGTGTACTTGCGATTCCTGTGCTGCACTATTTTGAGACTGAGACTGTCTATAAACATACCGTGCTGCCTATCTAGGGAGAATTTTTGAGAACCATCTGTTTATTCGAAACCGAAAATGCTGTCTAGGAAGTACGCTCACTAGGGTTTGCGACCAGCTTGCGCATGCGCAGTGACTCATTTTACTCAGCATCATGGCGGCTCCCGTAGATCTCGAGTTGAAGAAGGTAAAAAGGGGTTTACAGATTTATTCATAGAAACTAAACGGTTTTATTGCTTCGTCAGTATAAATTTAGCAAGTAAAGGGGGTTTTAAGCTCAGCTAGATTAGAATTATGGTATAGAACTGTAAAAGCAATGTGATATACCAACATGCAACCTCGGTGCATTAGAAACCTGTTCATTTTTATTTATAATATCACAATGTCAAAATATCAATGTCAAAATATCACAGACATTACACTTTTACTACTGTGAAGGCCTTTTACTACTGTGAACCCTTTATAAATTAATATGTATACATACATAAATTGGTGTAGGAAGCTTACAGAATATATCTCTCATTTTGTTTAATTGTTGATTATTTGACGTTAACTTTGTTGCTGGTTATAAGGAACTACGATATTTGTGATGCAATCTATGCAATCCATTATAAACTTTTTGCAAAAATAGAAAGACTAGTAGAAAGTTTCTGTCATTGCTGCACTTTAGTCCATATAGTTGAGTATGTAGTACCCTTCCTCAGGTTCCTCTAGAATAACTTTCTCATTCACATCCAATACAAATATGTGTTTAAAGGCATGAGAAGAGATTATGATAATGCATTTAAAATCTCATTTAACTCAAACTGCAATCCACACATCTGTATGCCACAGGCCTTTGCAGAGCTGCAGGCTAAAATGATTGACACCCAGCAAAAGGTGAAGCTGGCTGACCTGCAGATCGAACAGCTAAGCCGCATGAAGAAGCACGCCAACCTCACGCAAGCAGAGATCACGTCACTCCCTAACACCACCCGCATGTATGAGGGAGCGGGACGCATGTATGTACATTTTTGTTGGTGTAAAAGCTGCCCTGAATGAGAATTTTTTACTCTGTTCATTGTTTTGACCTTCTTCTCACTTTTTCCCAGGTTCATTTTACAGTCAAAAGATGAGATCGCCAATCAGCTTTTGGAAAAGCAGAAGACGGCAGATGAGAAGATCAAAGAGCTTGAGGTAAGTTAGGAGTACAAAAACATGTCAGTTACACACTGTCATGCACCTCAAAGCTGTGTTACCTATCAGGAATACTGATTTACATGTCTACATCTGGTATTAACATCCATCTGTTGAGATCCAATCACAAGTGTTCAGTGTTTAGTACAGGTAGTTGTGCCCCCCTAATATAACAACATATAACTGAAGGTCAAGTTAATTTTATTTAATTGTATTTTCTATATAGTGCCAGATCACAACAGAAGTCATTTAAGGTAGGGCTGCAAGATAAATTGCATGTGATTGTCATGCGCATCTCGTCAATAAAGCCGGTTCTGTGATTAGTAGTAAATCTCCATCACATGCTTTCAGATGGAGCGGCATTTAATACACAGAGCCGTAGTTCGCTGACAAGCTACGCAATATCGCGTTCATAATCGAATGCTGCAATTATGAACACAATATTGCGTAGCTTGTCAGCGGCTTTACTGACGAGATGCGCATGACAATCACATGCGATTTATCGTGCAGCCCTAATTTAAGGTTACCTTTCCTATTAAGAAACGGGTCTATAACTTGCTCTTTTATTAAACAAACTTAATAGCCTTATGTTATTTATCCTATTTACACAAAGGAATGTCATTTCTGTCTCTACATGGTCACGCGTTTACAATTCTCCTCTGCTCTTTGTGTTGCGCACGACGGAGTCCCACCCCGATGTGCACACACACACACAAAAAGCAGACAAAAATATCTGCGTTTTTTTAAAGCTGCACACTTTGTGTTTTGGAGAGTATCACATACGTAAATAACACGTGCAACGTATGTGCGCGGATACGTTGTTTACGTTCAAATCAAAGCGTAAACAACATTAACAGCGTATCCGCGTATGGTGCTGCTGACACGGAACAGCATACGTTTTTGTCAGAGAGCTCTAGGAATGCATCAAAAATATCTTAATTTGTGTTCCGATGATGAATGAAGGTCTTACAGGTTTGGTGTAATTAATGACAGAATTTTCATTTTTGGGTGAACTATCCCTTTAAGTGTTTGTGTCCGTCTGACGGCCCCTTAAGTTAATAAACTTATTTGTGTTTAAAAACAGCAATGATACAATTCAGATATAGCAAAAATTAAATTAGGATATATTGCAGAATTTGTTTTCTCTTTTTATGTATGTATATTATTATTAATAATATTATTTTATAACTGTTAAAAGTTTTTTAAGAAATTGATGCTTTGTATAAAGACCAATTCCCATTATTAACTAGTTGCTTA